CAAGAAGAGAGGGACACAACCTAGAACAGATAATGGATGTCTATTCTATTAACATTTCTCTATCTGGAGAATGGGTCTGTTTTATGTGTTGTCTTCTAAATTCAGAGGGCCCCCTGCCTGCCTTTACATAGGGCCCCAAATGTCCTAAATCCGCCCCTGATCATGTTAACACATACATTTTAATATTTCAAAATTAAACCTGTAATTGATAGAGAAATATCTTGATACCAGGGGGGGGTTGCCGTGGTTACATGGGGAGTCTGATGAAGCCTGATGCGTTACTGATGAGAAGCTGATAACAGAAAACAGAACAAAAGGTTAGAGTTTTATTCAGAGTATTTTCCAAACATCCGTTCTGTGAAAATCTGTTAAAAATCCACTCACTCTGTCTGTGTGTCGTTATCAACAGTCTGCACCAACTCACTACCTGAAAACATTTATCCACAAGTGCAGATTCTTTAAAGTTTCTCCAAATTTTCAAGCATTCCAAAATGATTTTAAAAGTTTTCATACTGGAGAACAACAAGGCCTCAAAGTTTTCAGACTTTTTTAAATTTTCTTTTAATTTTCTTTCTCATTCTTTTATATTGTTTTTTTTTCTGAAAGAAATCTGTTATGGATGGCATATGTTTAATTGTACGTTTCTGCTTTTCTGAAACTGTTTTTTTGGATTTATGAAAATAAAACTTTAAAAAAAAAGAAAAGAAAAAAAAACAAGGAAAAAAAAAAAACAACTACCTAAAAGCAAAAGCTCAGTGCACTTTAACGCCCCCTTGTGTTCAAAGAATTAACTACATTTTCTTCTGGGTTTGTTAAAGCTTGTAAAGATGGTTAATTTCACTCTCTGATCTCTATTCATTCACAGGATTGCTGATTATGTGGACTTTCTTGGTTAGTTCATCCACTGACTGTGAAATTAGCCGTGGAACGTCTTCCCACAGCTGGAAAACTGCTTGTTTTTGCAGCTACATGCTGTACATGTAGGCATTTTTACTGCATGACTCTGTGGGAGTGGGGAGTACCAGCATGGCGGATGGTGGCTTCACTTTTTTCAGGCATTCAGGAATCCAGTGAATAAATAAAAATCAGTGGTTCCACTTAGATTTATTTTTTAGCTTTTTTTTATTATTATTTTTACCTTTTTCCTGTTTCCAGGCGTCAGACATGGACCTCCGTAAGGACTCAGAATCTCTCTGTGGAAATGAAAATGAGAAATATTCTAAACTTGCTGTGAAAATACAGAATTTTTGTTTTTATCATAAATTAATTACAGATTAAATCCCCTTGGAATATAAAATACTTACATCTCTCCTAAAAGAGAAATATACCTTTTTACATTCAATTTAAAGCAATTTAAACATTTTGTCCTGATAAGGTGAATAAATCTCTGGTTCTTAAAAGGTTTGAAAATTCAACTAATATTAGAGTCAGACTATCAGAAAAGTCTGTTTTTGTTTTGCAGTGTTGACAGTCATAAAGGACACGATTAAAGTCTTTAA